TTATTCACATACTTTATTTACTTATTTCAAAGAATTCGATTTTTTGCTGTCGCATGTCTTAAAGTTCCGTTTTTCTTCCAAATTTATTTTGAATTTAAAAGTGGATTGTGCACATACGACGTTGTACACCGAAGTTTTATTACATTTGTCATGTAGCATATTGAGAACCGACCGTGTTCTTCGATATAATGTCACATACGCTTTTATTCAGCAAGTTTAAATGCTAATAAAACCTATATAACTTACCCGATTTTTTCTACTTTTATTTTTATTTTAGTTACATGTATCTTTAAATATTTTGGTACTTTCCAGGTCCTCACGATGAAAAACCCGAACCACCATTACCACCAGAGGCGGAAATCATAGCCAGTCAACTAAGCGAAATAGCGCAGGAAGTTATTACAGATAACGAAGATAAAAAAAAACAGAAACAGATTAGAATTTAGTTGAAGACTTGGCACCATTTGATATAGAAGATGCCAATACCAGATTTGAGGCTTCCCCACCTATGGTTATCGAGGAATTTGAAGACAATGTTCCGGGTACACCTAAATCACCCTTAAAAATTCTCACACCTATGCCTTCACTGACTAACAATCACAGGAACTACTACGACATATTTTGTGCAGTACATGACCACTGGAGAGAGGCATTACCATCTTCGCCTAGTACTATAAGTGGAGTAAGTTCTTTGTCTGAATCAGATACCAGTCCTGTGCCGTCTCCGGGGCGAAGGAAACGAAAACAGTGTAGGGATCATGGTCAGACGTCAAAAGAAAATGTCAAAAGTGTTTAACCAACCTAGGTAAAAAATACGTGTCGAAGAAGCGTAAAGTTGTCGATGAAAAGGATGAGCCATGTAAATGTCGATTCAAATGTGTCGGTAAAATTACTCATGAACAGACGCTAGATTGCTTTACAAGATTTTGGAGTCTATGTAACAAGGAAAAACAGTGGGTGTTTGTGATCAAGTTTACTCTTAAAGTCAGAAGCATCGATGCCTTAGTACAGATCAAACTAATTTGCGCAAATTTACTTGCAAGTACAGCTTGTCCGTACCGTCTACATCAGACACCTCTGCGAGTGACGTCGTTGCTGTATGTAAAACTATGTTTTTGAATACTCTGGCCATCAGTGAAAGGACTGTTTAAACAGCTTTCCAAAAATTCGATAGCGTTTCTGATGTAGAAATAGATAGACGACGTCGCCATTCTAGTCATAAGATTGTCATTGACAGAGAAATGGAACGAAGTGTTTGTGATCATGTCAATTCATTTGCCTCAATCGAGACTCATTACGTTAGGAAGTGATCGAACAAGCTTTATTCAGACGCTAATCTAAGCATTGGACGTATGTTTTTGCTATACAAAGAATGGTTTGATCCAACAAAATATGTTATGAGAGCTTCTACTGAGCGGCAATATAGGGATATTGTTTCCAAACACGTTAATTTAGAATTTTATGCACCTAAAAAAGAAATAAAAATTACTGTACTGAAAACAAGGTTGCATTGTATGTAACACATATTCGCAACAAAAACATAGCTCATAAATTAAAAAATAACGGCAAGGACGCAGCAATTCATTCTAAGGGTAAAATAATAACTGCAGTTTTTGACTTTCAGAAGGTGCTTTCTTGTCCTCAGGGTCAAATCAGTATATTTTATTATAGAAGAAATTTTTTGTGTTTTAACTTTACTATATTCGATATGGGTCACAAACAAGCTATTTGTTACATGTGCGACGAAACCATTTCAAAAAGGGGGCTAACGAAGTCAGCAGTTGCTTATTAGATTTTGTAAAGGAAAAAACTACTGATGGTGCTGATGAAATCAGATTTTGGTCGGACAATTGTGCCGGCCAGAATCGAAACAGAATTGTTTATTATTTTTATATGTATGTTGCATTTATTCTATATTCTAACAGTTTGTATAAAATACCAAAAGATAAATATAATGATCTTATTCATATGTGCCACACTGGAGTAATTATTTCTGAACATAGCAACTATTTCAAATCTCTACTATTTGATATCTAATCATGATCCCAATAACAATGATAGTGGGGATGACGAGTAGTTAATTTATACTATTTCCATTCCAATATAATGATTTTTCCTTTATTTCCATTTTCATGTTGGTTTAACGACATTTCAAATTTATTATGATTTCACAATTTTATTCTGACCAAAAATTTCGTTCTGTTTAGGATAAGATCTAAGAAATTTTGGATTTTGGCAATTTTAAATTTTCTGAGAAATTACTTGTAGCTACCATCATTTTTGCTTATAATTGTGAATAATATTTACGGATGAAAAACGATTAGAAGTTTAGTATTTTTAGTTATTATTATTTTTGGAAATATTTTTTTTCATTAGTAGTCTAACTGAAATAAATATTACCATTTTCGTTATTTAGTATACATAAAAGTGTTTCGACAAGTTCCAAGATAAAAACGTAGATTTAAGTTTTTTTAAAAGTATGTACTATAATTGTTTTGCTTCAAATTACTTATATCTAATTAATAAAATTTAAGACGGCACAGAGAACAAGTGACTAGAAGTTTAGTGTGTGGAAATTTTTTATTTTTTTTTTCTTATTTTTAAGTAAATATTTTTTTCTAAATCTTGTAATTTTGAATATGTACTCGTAAGTCGAAAATCATGTTTCTAGAGAAAATAGTAGAATACAAAAGTTACTCAAAGTAACTATCGATAATTTGATGCAAATTGAAATGTCTCATTGATCTCGACTTTGTTACAGATTGTTTTTCGTTAGTCTTAAATTTTATTAATTAATAATTTTGATTGCTGCTTTGCTACAATTAATAATAATGCTTAATTAATAATAATCTTAATTACTTATAATGACTTGTTATTCAGACTGACTGTCTTGTTACTATTGAGACTGATTAACGCCATAGTATTAAAATGAAACTTTTTAGCTAGAAACTTTAGTTACATTTCATGATCTCAGAAGTCACCAAATCTAAAGATATTCTTAGTAGTTATTTATTTGTTTGTACAATTTCGGCAAAAAAAAATTGTTGACTATATTTTCTCTTTTAGATAGCGCTTGTACTTAAAACAATAAAGATTTTTAAATATATATCTTTTTCTTTTTACCTAGTTTTAATATACGACATCGCATTCCATATGTAATTCCATAGAACAGTGTGACATGTATACATCGTTGTAGTACTTTACATAGAACAACGTCGCAAAAGTCACAACAAACATTCGAAGTTACGCGGTACAACGTCGGTTCATTATATACGAAAGCAAATTTTTCCAAGTATAATTTAAATTAAATAATTGTAATGTATTATAACCTTCAGTAAGAGACAAAAAGCTATTATTAAATAAATTTTCATTTAAAGGATTAGGTGAAAAGTTATGTTGAAAAATGTGAGTCCCAAACTTTGAAATGCTCTCTTGTAAAGTTGACATTTTGCAGATCCGTCTTTGTTCTAGGACAGTGTCAATTGTTCCAATTTTCAAAATTTTCGGGATTTTTTCGGATAAATGTCAATTAAAATTTGAAATTTTTGAAAGTTACCCAACAGTTCTCCCTACGACTGTATATAGGTACAAAGTATTTCCCTTTTTTTTTGTTTTAATAAAACCATTATTTTAAAACACGACTCTACAACATCATGAAATACGAACGTCGACTATGTTTCGGCGGGAAACCGGAACGAGGCAGTCGATTTAGCTCAGCTTAACAATTAGAATTTATATACTTACCTAATGAATATGCAGACAGGAAGGTAAGAGCTAAAGACAAAACACTTATTGAAGAGAAGAAATAATAATGGAAAAGGGAAACAAATTGACTTATAGCTACAAACCCATACCACATGTACGTAGTAGTACACGTTACTATTTGAGAGCTATTGCAAGTAGTGGATTTCAGTGGAAAAGTGTGAAACGCGCACTAATGACGCTGGTGGATGTTCTGTTGCTTGGAATGTTATAGGGAGAGTGTAGTAGCCTGCGCGCCTTCATACTCTTGCTTAGTAAGTTTAACGTTCAAAAGTTCAAAAGGGTTAAGAAATGGTCGTAATAAATCCAGTTTTATAAATTATATTCCCGTTTTATTTGTGGTCTTTAAAATGTTTATCGCTCAAGAGATTTTTGGTAACTGGTAAACGGTTAAAAAAAATAACAAGAAGACGTGTTCGATGCCGCGATCGGACGGGGAGTCACGGTGGAACGAAACGAAATCAGAATGCGAGGTAAAAGAACTATGGAACAATTCAAAATTTAAATTTAAATACGAGTGGCCAGGAGCCGGAGAAAGGCGATAAAAAGGTGGGATGACGATGTAAGGAGGTCACACCGTCACAAGTGTATGCGTAGTCAAGAGCACGTCAAGCTTGACACTTTGTACTTTGGACAGTTCTTATCGTAAGCGGCATAGAGTTGGATTTAAGTCTTAAGTGTCAAGCTTGGCGTACTCTTAACCCTGACCTATTTCTGGAAGTTGCACCCTATTTAAAAAATAAATATTTGTTTTATGACAAAGTTTTATGTTTTTTGCTTTGAATTCGTGTAAGTAATGATATAACATATGGTTCGTTTCAAAAAATAAATATACGCGATTTAAATCGAGAAAAATAGTTTCATTTCCTATGTGTAACAATCGCGAAAACCTAAGAACTCGAAACAAATTTTTCGATTAAGTATGTAAAGTTATGTATGTGTATTGAAATTGTGAATGCAGAGGAAGTGAAGGAAGTGCAAACAAAAAGTTTGTCTTCACTTTGCTTTTGGCGATTGTGAGCTGAGATATCTAACCTACTAAGTATGTATTAGTAAAGAAACATTTTTTTTTATCACACACTATCGCTCGCGAGCCTCACCAAGGAAGTTGTCGACTCTACTATAACGTACAGTGGATTGTGGAATTTAGTAGCGACTCTATTGCCAAGATAGATCACGTATCGTCGAACACAAAGGCGCGCGGCGCCCGCGCCGCCGCCGATGACGCGAGGCAGGCACGGTCGTGAATCAGTCCGGTTCGCGGCGGCGCGGAGGTGCGTTGCGTGGCGACTCTGCGGGCCCATCCAGTGATACGATACAATTCTTTGTTTACTTTCGTTACGTTACGATACGGGCTCGCAGTTACTTTAGTTTGTTTCTAGCAAAAAAAATGCTCAGCAGTGGGAGCCGAGTGGGTTACTGTATAGAAAGTGTACGTGACGCGGGGGCGAGGGGGCGGTAGTAAGAGTGAAGATAACATGGAGTGGCTGAAGGCGCTGCGCGGGAGTCGTGTACGCGACGAGCGTGATCTATACCGCGTTGTTCAGGCCCGAAAGGTACCTTGTTCATATAGGTACATTGTTTTACAATTTAGTAGTGCAGAGGATCAAAGATCATTGTGTTTTCCTGCCTTCCATTTACATATTTGAATCTTAACTATCGCTTTCATTTGATATTTTAGTACCAACGAACATAACCGTAGGTTTTCATTTCATTACATTTATCAACCTTAAATAGGCGTAAACATAGAGATACTGTACGAATACGTACCTAACTACAAAGTCTTAAACTGAAACAATAGATCTCAGTATAGAGTGGTTACGGTGGTAAAAGACTTGTCTTTATTATTATACCTTCAGAAACAAGCTAATAGTTAGATTGTTTCTGATATAGAAACTACATATGTGCACACTTTGTATTACATACGTACTTACTTATTCTCTACGACGACGAATGAGCATCTTATCGCTTCATCTCGAGTATGTACAATAGGATAAAATATGCACCGTCTCGGTAACGCACGTGCCATCTGTATAGTGCAAACACACTTTTAGGCATTGGCACTTAAGTCTAAACTTGATAATCTTTATGCGTAAATAACTTGTTGCTCTACGAAGAAAAGAGTCTGTCTTTTACGAAGTACTCAATACTTTATTGCATCCTCAAAAGTTTACAATGCAGCCGGTAGACACGCTTAAGTTAGAGCTTTTGGGCCCGCCTGTAAATACTATTTATACAAAAAGAAAATTCTTAAATTTCAAATAAAACTTTACTAACACTATATCATTATTTTGAAAGATTAATAAATATCTATAAAGGTAAAGAAAATAAAATTAATGGACAATAATAACAAAATATTGCGGTAGCATTTATGCCTAGTATTCGTACATGTATGTCAACTAAATAGAATATAAATTATTTTAATAGGAACATATTTGTTTATCGTTTAAATATTCGCTTACGTGGTGACTTTACGTGGTAACTTTTACTTACTTTTTTTTTTTCAAATATGATGTAAAACTGTTGTCGCTAAATTTCTTTTATTCATGCAGTTTGGTAACTTATTATAAATTTTATTATACATTACAAACGGACTTATGAATGGAGAGAAAGTTGAATTTGGTAACATAAGTCTGTTTTGGTGTCGAAAACAATAGTTTGTCTTGCCATTTTTATTGAGATTAGGATATTTTCTGACAAGATTACAAGATTCAAAAATGTAAATGCATGGTAAAGTTAAAATATTGTATTTTTGGAAGTAGGGTTTGCAGCGAAACGAAAACGAAAAACGACCTGTTGAGTAAAGAAATAATATTTCTAAACTACACTTCAGAAAAAGCATTTAGCACACCCGTGACTGGTATGATGAACCAAGATCGTTAAATCCGTGTACGTTTAAGTAAAATAAGTGTTAATGGTTTTATTACCCTATTGTAATAGAAAGGATAAGCCTTTTCAAGAGATAATATTCATCAGTGCAAATAATATTTCTTCAACTATACCTATTTATTACAATGAAAAGCCAACAAAATGAGTAAGGTTACACCACATTTTTAGGTCGACAATACATGGCTAGAAAGGCAGTCAACAGCGCGCGGTGCAACATAAAGTTTGAATTTGAATCCGTGCCACTTACGATAAGAATGGTCCAAAGTTGAAAGTGTCAGTGTTGCTGGAGTGTCAAACGCCTCCGAGCGCTCGCACTGCAGCTACGCGCCATGCTCCGGCGCGTTTAACACAAAAATCGATTTCCGTCCTCGTACAGTCAAGAGCACGTCAAGCTTGACACTTTGTACTTTGGACCGTTCTTATCGTAAGCGGCATAGAGTTCGATTGAAATCTTAAGTGTCAAGCTTGACGTGCTCTTGACCCTGTACAAACTCTGTAACCGACTACACAAAAGTTAATCCGGTGAGATAATGTGGCGAACGTACTTCTGATTCAAATTGTAGAGCTAACTTCCACACGTTTGATAAAAAAAATAGCTTTGTCCCACCCAGCCGGTTATCATGTAGGTCATATATACAGTTCTCATTTCAACATGAAAAAAAATTATTATTTTTTTTTTTTTTTTTTTTTTTATAAAACGCACACACTCACAGACTCAATATAGCCCCGCACTAGGGAAACCCTGTGTCGCGGGTGCCATGGGGACACACATAGACAACCACAAATTACACCCAAACTCACGAGAGAAATAAATGTAGGCCATACAAACATTTCTCCCGGCCCGGGAATCGAACCTGGGACCTCTGCGTGGCAGTCCGGCATGGTAACCGTTCGGCCACGGAGGCAGTTATAATTAAATCATTGACGAGTTGCAACAATACCATTACCCTCTCAATAAGTACCAAAGTAAGTAAGTGAGTACGCAGTAAGTACCAAAAATACATTTCAGTGTTATGACAAGCTTATACTTAATTCATGTACGTTATTTGTGGTTTAAATATTTCCGTTAAGTATCTATATCAAAATTTAAGTTACCTACTTAATCGACATCATAAGAAAGAAAGTTCGGTACTCGAGAAACAAGAGTTTAAATTCTGGGTAGAGACATCTTCGGAGAGCTTGTTGGAGGAGGGATTCGTAAAATAAAATAACATATTAAATGATTTACGTTAGGAACTGCGTTTATGTGCATATTGTATAAGGTGTACCTTCGTTTCAATAAGAGTATTTGCTCACGGCCAAATAACGTATGACAGGATAAGGTATTTTAATCAAATTCATGAGCGACTAGTAGGCCGCTAGATTACGGGGAAGTCAAGTTAGGTTGGCGTAATGTCTTGTTGTTTTTCTAAATATTTGTTGTTAGTGAACATTAACAATTAATTAACTGCGTTGAGCCAGTGCGCAGCGGCAGACTATGGCCGAAACTCTCTCTAGAAAAGATCCACAGCGCGCCAGTTGGTTGTGTAAAAATGGTGACGATGAATTGACATTAACCTGACTGCCTCAGTGGCCGAACGGTTACCATGCCGGACTGCCACACAGAGGTCCCAGGTTCGATTCCCGGGCCGGGAGAAATGTTTATATGGCTTACATTTATTTCTCTCGTGAGTTTGGGTGTAATTTGTGGTTGTCTACGTGTGTGTCCATGGCACCCGCGATACAGGGTTTCCCTAGTGCGGGGCTATGTTGAGTGTGTGCGTTATTATTATTATTATTACTGAACTGATATGTAATTGGCCGGCCAGGTCTTCGTAGTCTTCATCATTGCCGGCTTGCTTCCATAAGAGCATTTGTAATCATATCAACAGACAACTTGACTTATAAGACTTATTTAGGAGATGTCTACAACCCACAAACAACAGTGTCAACTCAAAAACAATTGCACCTATTGTAATTAAAAACATGTATAAAGACGACTACATAAGAAGACTAACTACTTGCGAAAGCTTCATGAAAGAAAAAGAAATTACTAATTTGCGTAGTTCGTCCTACTGCCCGACCTACAACTTACTTTTTATAAATAAAAATAATATAAAAACGGACATGGACAAAGAAGAAGGGATTTCGTGCTCCCTGATACGCTAAACACGTTACCTAAACACCTTATACAACAAAGCAAAAAAAAGAGTTAAAACATTTTTTATCAAACAGTAGAATTAATATTATTAGAACGAAGTAATTAGTCAAAATGTAACACCAAATTTCATTAAAAGTAGAAATTTACAAGTTTCAAAAAAATCAATTGAAATTGATATTTTTTCCAAAAACGATGCGCGGAATGCTGTGCGGCGACTGCAGCCACCACGTATGTATGGATTGCAACAGGTAGGTTGAATTAATATAATATAAGTAGGTTGAATCAAAGTTATTTACGAGTATTTTGTTTTGTATGTACGTACAATAAATAAATGAAAAAAAAACAGTTGTTTTGTACGTTTAAAAGTAAATGTCTACATAATAACACTAGTTTTTTTTTAATGTAATGCAAACCTAGAACCCGTCAGACGAATCACTTTTAATGCGAAATGGTGTTCACCTGTAGACATCTGGGATATTAAGCAATACTTTCTTCATGTCGAAAATTATGTTGTCGTCCGTGAGGCATAAGATCCTAAGTCTTACGTTGGCTCTACTTACCCATCATTCCAGAAGACCGCTAGCAATGCTGTTTTGGGGCAGAATTGTGTAGGACGTTGGTATCTGCACAGTGCACAGTGGACTTGCTTCTGCATTAAAATACCTACATAGAATTTGCACGTAAACTACTCCTCGTGGTACCTAATACACGACTGACGTAAAATATTAATTTTTGTTTAAAAATACAACAGCGATTCTAAGTTACTTGTTAATAAAATCATGAAATGAAAGAAAAATCCACGAATGAGTAGTTTTTTTATGAAAAAATGGTTTCCATTAGTGCTTGAATATTTAAAATTTTAGTATGATGCCACGAAATGCATTATAATTATGAATTAGTTACTGCATAATACCACATGCGTATGTACCTTTCTTTAAAAAAAAATATTACGTGTCTAGTAGGTACACTTATTTGACACGTAATATTTGTTTTAAAAGAAAGGTACACACGCTTGTGGTATTACTGCGCCATGGTGCAGTTACAATACAAAGTTAAATCAATTAGGCATTGATTTATTTTTGAAACTACTTAATTAATATTTTGAAGATGTTGGTGCACCTAAGGTAGTTTGCTTTTCATAAGGCGGCGCCTAAGAAAATAATCTAACTCTCAAGTTGTTATTTCGTGTTGTACCTAATTCCGTCAGCAAATAATGATCGAAGCAGGTTTTAGCGACATATCGACGCTTTATGTTGCTAAAATCTGGGTTTTCTTGGGTTTTCTCCATGACTAAAATTGTAAAACTCACCAAAAGATAAATGACAAAAATCTACCAAAAGTCGACTTTGGGACAAAAATATTTACAATAAAACTAACACAGCGAGCTGGAAATCAAAAGCATGTGAATTTTGAACAGGACTCGCAGCCGAATCGGTAAATGAGAAATTGGCTTAGTACAAATGAAGCGATGACAGTTGGGAAATAAATGTTGCAGTTGGCTGCAGACGGAGGAGCCGCAGCGGTGGTGATGGAAGCAATGGACGAGGTGGAGAATGGCGCTGCAGAGACGGCACTGACGCAACAGCCGTCGATCGAGGATGCACGCTCGAGACGCGAACGCTGGCGCAGCGTCTACATCATCTACTTCACCATGTTCCAGATGTCGCTGGGATTCAGCATTGTGCTCACCGGCGTCTGGCCCTATCTCGATAAGGCGAGTCTAACCGCTTTCGCAGCCGACGCTTCAAATTATATTGATTCCATCCAAGGATGCAATGATTGCCGCACGCGATCAGCAAGCAACCTCGGACAGAGTTCCGCTTCGTGTACTAACGTTTAAGTACTACACGAACCGAAAATATCGTGGAACTGGATAAACATAATCTCAGTACAGAGTACTAAAAAACCAACCTCAAAAGTATGTGGAATTACGTCTATTTGCTAAGTTTTATTGAAATATCCCCTATTTCGCCACTATACAGGACTTGACATTGGAGATAATAAAAATCGGTTCTCATTCCTCAAAGTATATTGAGAGAAAAACGCCTTGAATTGGAGAAATAGCTAAATCAACCATTAAAGTAATTGCTCCTAAATTAAAGTTATGCGCTATTTATAAAAATGAATCTTCATGCGTGAACAGCCACCCTTCGAGGTGGATGCTTTTCTTCAAAATGAAATGGGACCACTATGGAAGTACTAAGTATTCTTTTTTTGTTGGAAAGGGGTTTCCAACAAAAAAAGAATCATGAAAATCGGTTCACAAATACCGGAGTTATCGCGTAACATACATAAAAAAAAACATACAGACGAATTGAGAACCTCCTCCTTTTTTGAAGTCGGTTAATAATGTAGATATTATGTTTATTATTTTGAACGATATGGTTTTTCATCATGAACGAACAAAGCAGCCACGGCCATGCTTTGTTGCTTAGTCACAGTTTAGTACCAAATTCATGCTTTCCCTGGCATTGACTTTGACTGGCACGTGTAAATCTCAACGTCATATTATGTCACCTGTTTCTACGACGGACCTCGTCTTCCGCCATCAATTGCCGGCCTAACTCCAATATGCTTACGCGCAGTGCGCCCGCACACAAGAGACACATTCATTATTCATGGATGAAATATAGAGGTTCAATTGTTTCCAGCAAAGTCATCGGCTTACGCCAACCGCACATAAATAGATACAAATTAACGAATCTGTTTCCTAATGTGTTTTGAATGGTTAATTTCATTACAAGCAGTAAGTATAGTGCGCGTTTTATAGGCACAAGTAATAAAATACACGATTAGATAAAAACTGTATCTTCGCTCACTCGTTACCGCAACAACAATACGATTAGGTAACAAGTAATAGGGCTCTGGTAAACAAACGCGATGCTGCTGTGTGAAGGATGATAGCTGATTTATTATATTATTATTATATTAGACATTGTAAATTCACATCTGTAATGTCAAACGACTTTATTGCCGATGATTTATTAGCAAGTGTTCGTTTATTAGGACAATAACACGCGATGGCGAATACTTGGCGCGGCGCCCGCGGCGCGCTCGCGCGTCGTCCGTCTCTCGTTCATTGAAATGCTACCGGCCACGGGACGGGAATGCGGCTACGTGTGTTGGTTGACGACAAAAAAAAAATCCTCATGCACATTATAATAATTAAATATAGTTACTTACATTTCTTAAATTGGTATCGTTATAATCTCGGCACATATTATCAAATATTATTATTATTATATCAAGTTATTATCGATTCTTACTTCACCTTAATAATATAGAGGAATATAACCGTAGGGATAAAAAAGGAAGGAAATGTTGAAGGAAATACACTTATCACTAATCTAGTCAGGAATTAAATATAAAACGTTCGTGGATTTGGATATTCAATCTTCATTAGGTATCAATTCGTTCAGCCGGCGCGGCGGTAAAATAATAAAGTCATTTGATTGCAATTGATGAGTTTATCCATTTTTCACAGTAATTAGTTCCAAAGTACAAAAGGTAGATCAGGCTAAAAAAGATTTTAAATGTCACGCGTCAAGTTAACAGGGAGCTTTCCAAGTAATTCACACAAAAAGTACATCTTGTCAATGCGCGCTCGTTTACAAAGCACTGATCAACTTCCCTTTTTATTTTCATAACCCTGCCAACGACCGTCATGTCACAGAAGTAGGTGCCTGGTTCTAAATCATAGTTTTACGTATTTTTTAAATGCTAGTAGGATTTTAAAGCTCTTTCATTGAATATCAATCACGCTAGAGTCCGATGATTTTAATTACCAAAATAGGCTGTATAAAGTGGTGATGTGTTTTTAGCTGGAGCCAGGTTCGTCGAAGGAAGTCTTGGGGCTGGCGGTGGGAGCAAACCCTCTGGGGCAGCTGGTGTTCTCGCCGGTGTTCGGATGGTGGGCCAACCGGGCCGGATCTGTGCGTGCGCCGCTGCTGGCCTCGCTTGTGCTGTTCGTGCTCGCCAGCGCACTCTATGCACAGTTGCACCTCACGCGTCCCTACGCCAGCTACTGTATGGTCTTTGCGCGGTTTCTCGTCGGTGTGAGTTCAGGTCTCTGCTCGCGCCTTTATAGGTGCCTACAGATACGATCGACATTGTCGATCGACAGTCTCGATCGTCATTGTCATGTTGATCGTCGAAAAATCATGCCGACCATCTTGGATTTAGAAATGAGTGCCATATTCGTAATGAGCATCCCCAAATACCTCGAAAATGATATCCATATTGCATTTATTTGAAAAGTCATGTCCGCCACTTGGATTTACAAAGAAGTGCTATATTCGTAATGAGCACCTCCAAATATCTCGAAAACGATACCCAACTTGCCATTATTTGAGAAATCGTGCACGCCATATTGCATTTAGAAATGCGAAAAGTCGTGTCAGCCATCACGTATTCAGATATAAATGCCATTTCCATAAGGATTACCAAAAAATTTTTTGAAAATTCTTGGCAACCATCTTGGATTTAGAAATTAATGACATTCTCAATAAGCACTTCCAAACAACTCGAAAACGCTTATAATTCTCGTTCGACAATGTCGATTATGTCTGTAGGCACCTAATCGACATTGTCGATCGACACTGTCGGGCGTATCTGTAGGTACCTGATGGCATTGACGGCAATGGGCAAATTTCATTTTCACTTAACTAGTTCGGATATGCTTTCTTTCTCATTAGAAATCTGCGCGCAAAAGCGTTTCCACGCTAGCGTGGAAAAGGTTTTTTAAATTCGAACTTGACGGTAGACTGTGGTGCACCTAACTTTTTTTTTTTTTTTTATAAATAACGCACACACTCAACATAGCCCCGCACTAGGGAAACCCTGTGTCGCGGGTGCCATGGACACACATATAGACAACCACAAATTACATTTTCTCCCGGCCCGGGAATCGAACCTGGGACCTCTGCGTGGCAGTCCGGCATGGTAACCGTTCGGCCACGGAGGCAGTTTTTTCTTTCGATGAAATAAAAAAAATGATGACACGTTCAATAACGCGATTTTTCGTGCATTGTATAAGTGATTTAAGACTGTTGGTATATTTTATTCATATTATTGTTTACATGGGGCTTGTCAACTTTTGTCTCAGGGTGACGGGTGCAGTGGTAGTGCCTCTCAGATCTTTACAATTTAAATCTCTGAGTGGCACTGTAACTGCTATGACCAGGCGTGTAGTTTACCATCAGGCGCACGATTTGTTCGTCCCGTCTCTTGATGTTAAATAAAAAAAAACATTAAATTGATAACGGTAACTAATTTTGTTTATGAAATTATTTTAATTCGTCGAAGAACTAAACTGATTTGTTATCACAGACATATATCTAGATAGACGCCGCAAGTACAGCAATTTGTATGAAAACCAAGCGTGCCACATTTTTTGTACCCACTATGACGTCACTAGAGCTATTTAGTGATGGAAGGGTCATATTCATATAAATTGTACATGTAACTAAACAGCAACGAAACGCAAAGTAACGAAAATAACGAAACGGAACATAAGGGCTTGGGCACAGTTGAGGAAATTAAACTAACTTAATACAAAATAAACGATGATATTCTTTCCCTTTCACTCCACGACGACGTGGCGAGGAAATAATCATTGATAGTATAAGTCTACATAATAACAAATAATAATATTTAGTGAGTCTTTATTCGCAATATAAGCTGATTCAACATAATTATTTTTTTTCTAGGCATAATAGAAAAGTTGTCAAGGTTTTTATTTTCAGCCGATAATTTTGTTGTCTCAGCCTTCGTTCGTTTATATCAAAATCAGAATACATTTTTTTAGCTTATTGTTTTCCAGCACTAGTTGAATATATGCAGGATTTCCATTTAAATTTATTATCTCTCGTAGGCTTACATTACTTTTACTTCTTTTTTCGTAACTCCATTTCTGTCTTTGTATCTCTTAGTCTTTCTTTCCTCTGATTTCAAAGTAAGTAGCTTTTAAGCATTTGTGTTATGGAAATCGAAAACAACGACAATACGATAAACACCTAGTCGCGAGACAATATAGAAAAGTTAGTTTTTTCTGCATTAACTCGTCCGGGGATCGTACTCGGGGGCTCAGACATGGGAAACCATGAAAATCGATGTGCAAGCCACTCGACTACGGCGGTCGTGGATTATATAGCATTTGAACAGTAACAAATAAGTACATAATTTTGTATAGTTAGAAAGAGCTCAATATGATCGCTGCTTTTTCCGTATCGTTACGTAACGAAACGTTACTAAACCGACAATAAAAACCAAGAAAATATAATTTAGCTCTTTGAATAAACGCTCGCAAATGTGATCAAATGAAGCCTTACTACGTAATTTTAACTGTACTTTATAAAAACAAAGAAATATTTAAATAAATTGATAGGTTTCTTACCGTATTTACTGAAAGTTCGTGACCAAACCGAAAATTAAATGTACCCGAAATTGAGGTGCGATCAATTTCACAGCTGACGTTTTAAAATAGGCATATGTCCACGATACATTCCTTAATTTAAAATAGAACAATTATGCCTACGTTAAAATTGTTTATTATTTGTTTTTAATGAATCTGTAACGATCGATTTGCGCAACGAAACAAAATGTTACGAAACGGAAAAAAGACACAGTAATTTTAAATGATTTTTTTAAACACTATTTTTTAAAATTCTAATAACTATATTCATATTACAGTCATAATATGTCAACTTCATGAATTTCTCTGCTAACCGGCGGCTGTAATGATCCGTTGAGTTCGATACCCGAGGGATGTGACATTTAAAATTTCAAAGAAAGTAAAATTGTTAAAATTTTAATTGTTCAAAAAACTATTATAATTTATTAAAATTTTAGAGTAAATTAATGGTTTTTTATATAAAAATACCAGCCGTATATTTATATACGGCTGGTATATATTTAATTATATATTTAATTTATATTTAATTTTTTAATCGACTTTAAATATTAAAATTATTGACCTTCCAATAAAATGAGCTTATTATCTAACATGTTTTTGTAATAGACGATCTCATCGATTAACTTAAATAATGAAAACACACGTCAATATATGAACTTACGACTGTCTTAATTAATTTTACTAGATTATTTTCTGTTGGTAATTGATCAAATTGGTGAATGGCAAGACTAATGAAAATATTACTGCTGACAAAATATGGTAAAATCTTATTAATCAGAAGAGGTTTACTTAAGGACATCCTCGTGTGAAATTTTTGTGACTTGTTTATTATATCTCGTATTTCTAACTCTGCTACTCTGCATATTTGGATAGCATCTGAGGTGGGATAAACTACACTACCTTCGTCCTCGAAAGCAACGAACTGATACGTATGACCAACTCCGGGTTTTTGTCTGTACAAAAACCTGGAGTTGGTCATTAATTAGTCAGTCTGTCAGAGAGCGCACTGTTAATTCTTTGCATTATATATTTTTTGTATTAATCGTACTACATATCCGGCGATGTATGTAATTATTTGCTCACTATATTCGGATATTCGAGGCAACGTGCTGCAAAAATTATCGAAATTACAGCTGATACTACTGATAATAGGTACTACAAAACTTAAAAAACTAAACGTTATAACAAAAGAGTTATACAATATTTTTATAATATTGCTAAGGTCATAATAATTTTCGTCCCTTTGTTTTCAAAATCGATCAGAATAGAGAACAGTGTTGCCTAACGGATACACCACTAAATGTTAAATTTGGCCAAAGATATGTACAAGCGGCCGTACCACGAAACTGAATGCATTAAACAAAAGTGCGTTCGTTCGATGTTCATGGCGTATTCACAAAGGATCATAAATATATCGTACCAAGTAAAAGGCGCAATGTATTACATACAGAGGCATACACTCTGTTGCATATTAGTTTTCTCGAATTTCATATAAAACCAAAATAATTGTTTTTAAAATGAATTATGAAACTTCTGATTACAAAATCACTTGCCCGTGGAGTGAAACGTCCCTGTTTACCCGTTTACACAGTTATGGTGCTTTTGCAGTTTACAATGGCACAATTATGCATTTTTCGCGTTTTCGACTGATGTTTGTCTATGAATACGGTCGAGCGCGTTCTGAAGTGTAGCAGCGGCAACTAAGTGAATTTCACTTAGTTTGGGCACGCGAAGTACGTACACTTGCGGCGTCTATCTAGATAAATGTCTGTGTTTGTTATAGGTCATTGTTTTTCTTTCATCTGCTATTTTCCTCGCTATAGTGAGGTGAAAAGTAGTGTGTTTTGCTCGGCAGCAAAATTGTTTTGCGTCTCGGGCCTTGAGACCCTCGCTACGCTCAGGAATCTGTTTTTGAACCACTCGCTTCGCTCACGGTTCAATCTTAGCTTCCTTCGCTCGCTCAGGCTTCAGCACAAGCACTCGCGTCAAACAACAACTTTGCAGCCTAGCATATCCAATGACTATAGTGACCGTAGATTGTGCGCGTGCCTGCAGCGAACATAGCGGTGGCGCGGTCGTACCTGTCAGCGGCGACGATGGTGCGCGAGCGCACGCGCGCCGTGGCGGTGGTGTCGCTGGCGCAGGTGCTGGGCTTCGTGGTGGGGCCGGCGCTGCAGGCGGCCGCGGCGCCGCTGGGCGGCGGCGAGCCGTACGCGCCGCCCGGCGCCGGGGAGCGCCCGGTGCGCCTCGACATGTACACGGCCGCCGGCTGGATCAACGCGCTGCTTGGCCTCGTCAACTTCGCGCTCTTTCTGCCTTGCTGTTTCAAGGAGCGGCGTGTGGCCGCGAGAGAGGCCATGCTCGTCCACGGGAAACAATCGGGTCCGTTCATAACTGGATTGTTTTGCAGGCCTTGAAAAACCTGTAAAATAAAACAGATTGCATTAATTTACGCAGTAGTAGGTACCAAATAATGTAAGAGGAAGCGAATACTTATTTATTTATATTGGGACGGTCTCTGTTATAGAAAAAGAAGCGCTCAAGGAGTTGAAACCTGACTACGTGAGCAGTTGGACGCTGATTGCGGCGTTTTTCGTACTGGTATTCAACTTCGTGCTGCTGGAGACGCTGGCCACTTCGCTCACCATGGACCAGTTCGCATGGAGTAAGAAGCAGGCACTAGAGTACATGGGTCTCCTTATGAGCGCCGGAGCCGTCGTTGCTTGTGTCACCTTTGCTCTTATCGGACCGCTCACCAGAATATTCGAGGAGAGGTGAGGCGAAGCCTTTTCCTATAAAGTGGTGTGGAGCGGTGCGTTACGGGGCTCGGAGTTAGCTGAGCTGACAATGTTGCAGGGCTTTGCTGTTGTGGGGCGGGTTCTTGCTGACAGGGCTGGCATCTATATGGTGCGTACCCTGGGGCCCGGGGCCGCCGCCGTTGGCACCCCCGAACGCGGCCGAAGCGGGCGGCGGCTGCCCGCAGGAGGCCCAGCCGTGGTGTGCCACTTCGCGCGCTCTCACGCTGCCGCAATTCCTACTGGGCTACGCGTGCGTCTCTGTCGGATACCCGCTCGGCGTCACACTCATACAGACCATCTTCTCCAAGGTGCTAGGCCCGAGGCCGCAGGTGCGTCCCGTGCCGGCCGATCGCCGCTCCGTGCTCCGTCGTCGAAGCGAGCGTGTGCTGTAGTAGTACGTGTGCCTTTGTGTGCAGGGCGTGTGGCAGGGGCTGCTCACGGGCGCGGGGTGTCTAGCCCGCGCGCTGGGCCCCTTGTTTGTGGCGGCGGTGTACGCGAGGCGCGGACCCGACGCCACTTTCGGCGTCACCGCGGGGCTGACGCTGGCCGCGTTGATGGCGCTGCGGCTGGTGTATTCGCGCCTGCGCCCCCCCGCCGCACCCGCCGCACCCGCCGCACCTGAGGCGCGCGAGCTGCAGCCGCTCGGCGCTGACGCGTGACCAACGCCGGCCGTATGCCGCGCGCCGGTGACACCTCCAAAAGATTAAATCGTTGAATTGTTGATAATTATTTATTAAGACATGAACGTGTTAATAAGAGCCAATGCACAGGGCATATTTTAAACGCGCCGACGATGCGCGTTTTACGAACGCGCCTTTACAGCGCCGTGAACGTGAGTCGTCTGCGAGTATTCGCGCCGCAGACGCACTGTAGTGAATTGATGAAAACACGCGCAAATATCGTGTTGCAAGCAAGTAGCTTTTATATACTCCACTGTAGTTTACACTTAGAATTTCATGTAGTTACTTCATTTCAAAAACTAACTGAAATTAACAAACAAATCTCATAACATCTATCTCTTATCAAAATGCACGATACATGCGCGCGGCTGCAGCGCTCGTATATGCGGAAATACGCCGTGTGCATGGGCTCTTAGGTTCTTCAATTCCATCGATAAACGAAGTTTCCGTATTTTTGAGTTGCTGAGTCCCGATTGGATTGCTGATAAATAGTTAAACGCGCCACTCATAAAATTGTTAATCCGAGCGGGTAAGCACCCATGTTGTACCTGCATATGTTACATAGGTAGTTTCTAAAATTGTATATAACAAGAGGCACGTACCTATACCTACTATTATGCTTAGTACTATATTAGTACTTAGTATTATACGTACCTACATATATGTAGTTACTGAGTGGTTAAGTAGGTAATATGATTGTTAATCAGTCGATAGATTCGTACTGGAGACGTCACGTGATAGTGATACGCATCAGGAATATAAGACTGATAGGCTACTTTGCCATATTTTCGTTGTACATAAAGTACTTTAATGTTCTCGTACTATTGTATAGACAACATTTTTGTTTTACTTAAGTACATACAACATATTATTTGTGCGTATTTTTGATAATGTAATTCGGTGACGAGGGAAACAGCAAAATAAAAGCAGCGGACGCGGTGACAATTTATCGCCCGCTCAATCTTGAACTAGAGAGTAAAAAGTAACACTATCATGATATCAAGTAACACTATAAAATGTTTTATATCAGATATTTGGGATCCGTTCATTATGCCCCTGGTTGCTTTTGCTCCCGTTTTGTTTGCACCCGATTCATTAGTATAAATCTAATTCAAAGCAATTTTAATTAAATGTATTAGTATGCACAAAAGTGCTTTTCCTAAAATAATAAAATTTTGATAGGTGTGTAATATTATTAGCAGAAAAAGTCGTTCTATATATGTTCGATCTTTGTATTAACAATCAGAATAAACAAAATAATCAATAATTGGTAGGTACGTGTAATTGTAATTTATCATTTTATTATTATTTATTTATTATATGGACAACAAAACAGATAACAATGAAATCACATTTGTAAGAGTTAAATATAACATAAGTTCTGTACTAGATTGTAACCCTACTTATGTTGACAGATCATTATAAAGTAACAAGAAAGATCTACTCTTCACAATTTGCTAGTAATAATTTACTTACTTATTAATATTCCTGATCAATGCAAGGGTCAGTGGAGAAGAAATCTAGTCTTGTCGACAGTCCATGGTTAGTCGTTTGAATTTGACATTTAAGGCAGATTCCGATTGGGGCGATACCAATCTTGTCAAATGTAACCTCAGAATATTTATTTTGTGATCTGAGAATGTAATGCTATCAAAACGCAGGCGTGTCTATTCTCCACAGAAACGGAGTCAATTTGACCTGGCTCCGACTTTTTGTGATATCTCCATACCGAAAACCGACAGCCTCTACTTGGAATGGTACCTGTCGTCTAATTTATACTTCGGCAGTTGCATCGAATCCATGACCCTTTTTTGGTCATGGATTCAATGCAACTGCCTGCCATGAAGCTTGGCGTCCTCTCCAGGGTGAGGCGTTACTTCACACCGCGATAGTTGCTTCAACTGTACCAAGCACAAGTCCGGTCATACATGGAGTACTTCAGCCACCTATGGAATGGCTATCTTACATACGAGTAGGTACCAATTGGCCACTTTGGATTCAATCGACAAGCGCAAGTCAAGAGGCGTTTAAGTGACACAGATTTAGTAGAGGTGAAGCTGCATAGACTTGAACACCGTCTTAAAGTTACCTTACTTTACGGTGTTTCGCCTCGTCGCTATTCGAGATGGGAATGCGGGTACGCAACCGCACACTAGCTGTTGTGGGTATATTCCAAAGATTCGCACGAAGCGTTTCGCTTCCACATTTATATTTATATGGATGGAGGTCAAATGCGCACTTATTTACTTATATAAAACTCACTAATTTATTAAATACAAAAACGAAATGGGTTTGGGTGAATACATATGGACGTGTTGGGCGAGTTACTAGTCCTTTAAATATTCTGAATCTTGAGTGAAAAATATTCAAATCGGAGCTTTTCATAGATATCTAGTCGTAAAGTCGACACATTCCTGTCAGGGGATTTTATAAGGAAATGTTATTCTTATACGTTCGCAGGGTAAATGTCTTGTTAAATATTTGGGAATTACGCCTTGTGCAGATGTCTATTTTACTTAAAAGGTAAGAAGAGTCAATTTCGCCATGAATAATCTTATTGAATTACATATTTTGTCAATTATATGTATATGTCAATTATATATTTTATCGCACTTAATACTTAAAAATAATTTTATACGATAATAAACACGAAATATTTTTTTATGATACCAAGCCGCGCGACGAACTAGTCGTGCGCCTGGTGGTAAGTGACACGCCTGTCGACAACAGTGGTAGTGCCACTCAGACTTTCAATTACAAAGAACAACGGGCGTAATGACGCCCGTCACCCTGAGACATAAGTTGACATGTCCCATGTGCCTGTAATTTCACCAGCACTTACCCTTCAAAACCGACATGCAGCAATGCTCACATTACTGCTTGGCGCCAGGAATACGTAAGGTGGCAGTACTTTCCTGTATGAACTCTTTTCACAAGGAGCTCTGCTGTCACTGCTACTAAGCTACTATGTATTAATGGTACTTACACGTACCTGTACATGAATAATTCGCATTTTATTTTATGTAGGTATTATTTTGTCGTCTTACCAATTCGAGCTTTTTGACAACCAATAATTAAGAAATAAGTGCATCATACGTACATACTTAAATTAATAAGTTCTTAAACATTTAAGTTGTCAACAGTATTTAATGCAAGCAAACTCGTATCTGACAATAAATATAATAATAACATAATAACGCACACACTCAACATAGCCCCGCACTAGGGAAACCCTGTGTCGCGGGTGCCATGGACACACACATAGACAACCACAAATTACACCCAAACTCACGAGAGAAACAAATGTAGGCCATACAAATATTTCTCCCGGCCCGGGAATCGAACCCGGGGACCTCTGCGTGGCAGTCCGGTATGGTAACCGTTCGGCCACGGAGGCAGTTAAATAATAAAATAAAACTTATTTGAATCGGGTGCAAACACAACGGGTGCAAAAGAAACCAGGGATATAACGAAGGTAGGGGAAAGGTGTACGAGATGATCTCGGAGGTAAGATGATCCTTTTCAATTGTAGCGAAACTGGTAACGTCATCTAGATATTTTCTTCGATAAAATGTAGGCTTTAATATGCCCTCATCTCATCAGTCAATTCGTGATGGCGATGTGAGTGACGAGTTCATTTTTGGGAAAAAAATAAAAATTGTGTGAGTTTGATCTAAGGTAAAGTTGATTAAAAACTTAGGCAACTTACGTTCTAAGCAATCAATTGCTAAGATTTTTGTGTTAATGGCTTTGTATAATGCTCTATTTACTGGCGTGGCAACAGTAGACAGCATACAGGTTATTTTGCCGAACAAAAAATAAAATAAGTGAATTGGGGCAAGATGATTATGGGTTTGGTGTACGAGATGATCCGTGGGGATCATCTTGTACTGTATATATTATTAACGGACTATTTTTAATTTGTATGTTTTTCTGAGTACTGAAACCTCTTAATTAAATAGCTTGCAATACGAATAAAATAGTAGAAGACTGGATTTCGTTTACATGATCGATCTCGTTTAATAACAAATATAAATGCTTTTTCTTGTTTTGGACCAGACCGCGTAATTGTAAAAGAAAAAGCATTCGTGGTGGGTGGTCGTACACACGTACACACATCTCATAGATCGGCAAGTAAATAATTCGCAGTAGGTACGCGTTATGTCATTAAAAAGACGGGCTAAAGGTAAAAATAAAGGGTCTGTCAGTTCAATGAAATATTTAGGGGAAAAAAAAAAAAATGTTTTCATCAGCTGTGTTAAACAGGAAATCGAGCTCGTAAAGTACATTAAAGATCAATAGAGACGAGGATGGATATCAACTTGCCATAAAAAACAATATCGCTCACCCTTAGGTACCTGTAAGATACAAATTAATTAGCATTATTTGTTCGCGAAGTTCCGTAACTGTAGTTTCATATACCTAGATTACATAAGTGAGGACTTCGTTAAGTCTAAAAAGTTGTTGTTTTCATTTGTTTCCAAAACCTAGAAATTTTCCTAAACAGAGGCAAGGTGATCCCCTGGATCATCTTGTCCATGCCCTTAGGATCTTCTTGGATACCCCGGTGTCCAAAACGATCCGTTAGTAGGGTTTTCAAAATTTTCAAATAATATATAATATAATATAATGAAAGACAAAAAAAATAAAACGTTTTTAGTAAGACAACATGTAAATATAAAAATTTTCTATCATTCAACGCTTTTACATCTGCTTTAAGCTGAATATCTTTTAAACTACCACCATTCTCCCTTAAGGGGATCATCTGGTACACCTTTCCTCTACCCGATATTTGTACTGTCACTGAGCTCAAGTCTTCCAAGTAAAGTGGATCAAGGCAAACTTTTAGACTAAGTATAGAAAAATAAATATGAAAAAATTTACATATATTTTGTATAAAATTATTGTGTATTTATTTGTAACAATGTTTATAAATTGTAATAATAAAAGTAAGACATTGACTTAAGTTTACTAAATGCGTTTTATTCGGTTATTTATATTTAGCGTAATTTTGTTAGATTATAATTTGGTGTTAGGATAGACCAGAGGCAAAAGTGGCAGCGGGCAATGAAACATTGTCTATATTTCGAAAACGGTCAGTCGTTTTTACGCGTGTGTGCTTGTACAGGGTCAAGAGCACGTCAAGCTTGACACTTAAGGTTTGAATCCAACTCTATCGGCATACGATAAGAACAGTCCAAAGCACTGTAACTGTAGGTTTCTAAAAGATCAAAGATTGTGCTATACTACTATGTGTATGTATTGTACAGTAGTTTTGAAGATAGTGATTATTCTTCTCTAATACGTCCACTGGTGCAGTTGTAACACATTTTCCTGAGGACATTCTGACGTTACAATTGACCCACTGCCACAATTGACTCAGTGAGCATTTTTAGAATAATATTTTTATTTTTTTATAAATCGACCAAATCCAAATGTTAAAGTTTTACGTTGTATAACAAATAAATTGTTTATTTACTTATTGAATAGCTTTTTGCACAGGACAAAGGTAAAGAAAACACACAATTACAGCTCATTATTTAAAAAAAAAAACGCAAATTAACTTGGACATTGTGAAAATGAGCTAGTATCATGATAGGTCAATGTAGTATTATTAATACGAGTAGATGCCTTCTATTAAACCCTTCGTTTACACCGCTGCTTACGCAGGTTTACGGACAAGCCCTTCCTTAGAACATACTCTGCAAACATTATTAATTGTAATCTGTGATATGGTAGCAGATACTTTAATATTATGCTCTGGGGGTAATAGTAACAAAGGGGCAGTGGTCACAAACAGCCTCTCATTCAAGCTAAAAACTAGTTTTCGAGTAGAAAATTTTGCATTTAGGTTTATTGTGTTTAGATTAGGTATATTACATCAAACACTCTGGCTAAATTTCAAATTCCTGGCCATAAAAAGCATTGCCATTAAAATGACTACTATTTTTGTTTGTTTCTTACATGTTTTTAATTGTCAGTATTGGTAATAGTGTTATATCTCACTAAAACAAGACTGAAATGAGGTTCCTTTTAATAATAAAAACATTCGTACTTTTCTATATTTTCGCTGCATTTCATTGTATTTAAATAGTATTACTTTTGTACCGGGGGAGGAGGCATTAGTAACAAATTCCCCATCTCACAAAACCTTTAAAATATACATTTTCAAAGCATAATATCGAATAATCACAATGTTTGTAGCCAAATATACTTATCTTAGCTTTCGCGGAAAATGTTTTAAGGATACGTTAAAGCAGTTCTATAATCGAAGCGTGCGTAAAAAGTATTACTTTTGCCTCCGGTTTACCCTATATTTAAAAGATAATTTGGAAGTTGTATGTACCACGCCAGTACATCAAGCTACACATTGACGTATCTTGTTCCGTTGCACTGGACGCGATTTTCGAACAAAAATGTGTAGTCTGAAGTGCCGTTGTCCGTACTTGTAGTAAGTATATTGTTAAATCTTAACACTTACCTAATGTCTAAAAAAAATGTCTGTAAAGTAGTGTGAGGCCAATAAGTACTAGTTGAGCTATATTATAGATACTATTGTTTATAGATGGTTGAGGTAATGTGTAAAGATCTTATTGCTGAGGATACAAGCTAGATGAGGCCGTGTATCTGTAATGGCTGTGTATCTTTTTTGTTGTTGTTATATTGTTAAATGTCTGAAACGGCTGAATATTCGTTAATCAGTCAAGTTAATTGCCTACTGATATGCACAGATAAACAAACGGCTGAAAAATATACTCAATAGCTATTTATCCGAGCTTATAACTCCTGGGTCATGCCTGTTCTGATGTACACATTTGACGTGCTCTGTTGGACACAAACAGAATTAGATGCTCTCGAAAGACGAGTCCTCACGACGGTGATCTCTTACTGGATGCATTATCCGAGATCGTCGGCTATGAGATTGTATGTCCTGCGGAAGTAAAGGCCAGTCATGCACAACCGCGGGACATGCAATGTCAGAAACTACTTTTTGACGATGACAGATTGTCATCAACTTCCCCACGAATTAGACATAGTTTGGTTCGAGGTTGTCACATGTGATAAAGGGCTGACTATCTTATCGTTGGCCAAAGAGGAATGGCGAGATCTTAGAGTGCTTAGCACTTGACCAGTCCGTGTAGAAAGAGAAGAAGCTCCATGGGAGGATCTACAAGGTACTCCACGGGTTCTTTGTGGACCGTGAAGCCTCTCTGCATTGGCTGCTTTTTTTGCGACCCTTTTGGGGAAATTGAAGATTTTGTCTGTGCGATGCAGGATCAGGTTATCAAGACGGGAAACTATCAGAAATATATCCTAAGAGATTGGGACTGAATAACCCCTAACCCCGGTCGATTGAAAGAGAGAAACAAAACTGTTTATTACACAAGCACAGACACGCATATAGACAAAACAATCGAGGGACAATAATAATAATAACAATAACAATTCAAAATTAATTTGTTAGGCCCTCGGAGACGCGAGGATCTGAATAAATAATGATACAATAGTAACAATTATAAAAAAAAAAATGAAAACAATGACTGATTACTGAATTAAAACAATAATGCAGTACCTAATTCACCGTCGTGCGTGTCGCGGCTGGTGCAATCGGGTCTTGCTCAGCTTTAGCCACAACCGGCTTTTTTTAAACCGTTTCGTGGCGCTGGTTTTCAGCAAGCCCGGGGCGAGTGGGCCAATGACAACATGACAGAACTCATCAATAAATAAACAGATAAGAAAACCGACATAATATGAATAGGTAGTGTACATATAGGTAGTGCGCCATTACCGGAGAGTACCGCTTCTCGCATTTAAAAAATAATCTTTTATGACATAGGAGAGACGAGAGTCTAAAATATATATCCACAATAATAAAAATATTCTTCCTAATAATTCCTAAGAACTCGATAGTAAAAATATTCTTTCTTATTTTAGGGAAGAGGTCTACTTGCCCATAATATAGAGAAGAACTTATCTACTATGTTCGTTTAGGCATAGGTACATTGAAATACTAGTAACACAAAATTGGAATTGCAAACATATATTTACGTAAGTATACTTGTTATGCGATATCGCGGCAATCCCAATAGCCCTTCGAACCCGTTATTCATTATCTTATACACGGAGAATGTCTAACATTTTTTCGAATGTCTGGGCCACATAAAGTAAGCTTTGAATAATGTTATCTCAGTTTAGTTGCTACAACGAACGAACTACAAAATTGAGTCCCTTTGACCTGACTTCGACTTTTGTGATATATCCACACCGACAACCGACCGCCTCTACTTG